CTGAGGATCCTGGTTCAAAGCCAGCTCAGGCAGAAAACTCCATGAAACTTATCTGCACTCAAAACCACTCAAAAACCAGAAGTGGCACTGTGGCTCAAGTGGTAGAGTGCTAGCCTTGAGCAAAAGCAGCTCAGGACAGCACCCAAGCCCTAAATCCAAGCCCCACAACTGACCAAAAAAAAAAAAAAAAAGTAAAAGGAATGGTTGTATGAAACATCTTTTTCATTACATTATTTGAATACTTGTTATCTCTTGAGGATATAGTCAAATACATCTGAAATATATCTTTAGGGAACCTTAGGGACTAAAGGTTTTCTGGGAGTGATTCTGGAGCTCTTTTTAGTAGGTATTAATTAGCTAGGTAATGACAGGAATGTAAGAGGCATGAGGTCAGTTACTGATGCAGCATGACATAAGACCCCAGGTAGTGAGTTGAGATGCCTCCAGTTTTCTCAAAGGTATTTGCGGGAAGCTGCAGGTGAGGCTAAATAAGAAAGCCCTTAGTGTGCTCTTCTGAGGATGTTCTGTCATACCACAACACAACTTGTAGTGGTTCAGAGTAAAATTTCCATTTTAATACTTTCTCAGTAGTAGGGAGACTAGATGGGGGGAGGGGCAACGAGATCATATAGGAGGTGAGCAATGATTATGGCTCCAAAGCTGTAACAGGATAATGTGAGGACTACTATATAGGGCTTAGATGGTGTTTAACAGGCAAGTAAACAGAGGAAAGAGACAAGAATTACTTGTAGGTTTCTGCCTCCGTGGGAACTAGGAACAATCACCATCAATTCTAGCAGGAACATGGGGGGTGGGGTGGTACTGACTCACTTGACAGCTGCATAGTTTGTTTTAGATTCAAGATGAACATCACTCAGCAAAATTTTGCTATAAGATCTAGGAGTTATCTTCAGAAATTAAGTTTATTAATGGTCTGGGATTTCCATATTGGTGGAGTAGGTAGTGTGAACTAATGCTCTCTCAGAAAATGCTTAGAAATGGAGCTCAAATTATTTAAAATGAAAATCTGCTAATAGCACTGGAAAGCTAAGGAAAGCACAGAACATTATGGGGCCAAGGTTTCAGAAGAGAAAGAAAACCCTGAGGTTGAGTCTGGCATTGTGAGCTAATTTCCACATGGGGTTTCTGCCTGCTATGGAAAAGGCTGAGGAAGTGCTGAGAGATTCTGAAACTGCTCAAGAGACAGAGGGACAAACACTGGAGTCTAGGCTTATCAAGGAAGAGGAAACCTAGTAGGCTGCTCAGTTGGAAGTTGTTGGGACCTTGCAGTTGTTGCCAAATTTCACACCATATCCTTAATTATATTAAGTCACCTGAGATATTTCATACCCCTGATGCTACTAGAAGCAATGGAAAACCCAAAGTAGAAGGTAACATCTTTTTTTTCCTCCTGTAAAAGATAGTAAATACTTTACACTTTGCTGGCCAGATGGTCTTTGATCACACAGCAATGTCACATTGCACAAACAATCCTAGACAAGGCATAAAAGGAATGAATGTGGCTGTGTTCCATAAGTCTTATTGTAGACATTGACCTTTGAAAAGCAATAGTCTTCACATGTCATAAAACATTATTACAGGATTACATCAAACTAGAAAGTTTCTGCAAAACAAAGGAAACATCTAAGGCAAGAACTAAGAGCAACCTAAATCTCTACCAATGGATGTAGAAAACATGGGACACCTGTTTACCACAGTGTATTATTTCAGCTGTAAAAAAAAAGAATGAAATCTTGTCATTTGGGATAGCATGGAATAGGTGAAATGAAATAAGTCCAATACAGAAAGACAAGTACCACATGATCCCACTCTCATAAAAGTTGAGAGTAGAAACGTGGTTACTAGATGCTGACAAAGGTAGCAGGGAGGGCGCATAGGGAAAAGTTGATCAGTGGACATTAATTCTAGTGTTCAGCAAGGTGACTACAGATATTCTGTATATTTCTAAAAGCTAACTTTTGGTATTTGTCTTTCAAACATTTGAATAGATGCTTAACCTTATTTAAAGATCATAAAATATATACATGGAATAAAAATAGCTCAGAAAAAAATTACACAGTACTTCCATTAGTATATATTATTCCTACTACATTTAAAATTTAAGAAATGGCCGGGCGCCGGTGGCTCACACCTGTAATCCTAGCTACTCAGGAGGCTGAGATCTGAGAATCGCGGTTCAAACCCAGCCCGGGCAGGAAAGACGGTGAGACTCCTATCTCCAATAAACCACTAGAAAACCGGAAGTGGCGCTGTAGCTCAAGTGGTAGAGCTCTTGCCTTGAGCTGAAGAGCTGAGGGACAGCGCCCAGGCCCAGAGTTCAAGCCCCATGACCGACAAAAAAAATAAATAAATAAAATAAAATTTAAGAAATGTCAATAACCACATTATTCTTTGATTCTGAGGTGCAAAGGTAGAAGAATCACACTTAAGTGGGCCAAGCAAAGTGTTAAACCTCCTCTGAAAAAATATAAAGCAAAAAAAGGCCTGGGGGCATGACCCAAGTATCAGAGCATGCCTATTCCAAGAGTGAGGTTCCTCAGTTCTCCATAAATCAAAAGGCTATTCTGACAGCTCACCCTCTTGTGTCAGCTTCCCATCACCCTAACTAAACACCTGAGATAACTTCAAAAGATGGAAGTTTTATTTTGGTCCCTATTTTTGAAGGTTTCAGCCCAGTTGATTGGCTTTGTGGTAAAGCAGTGCAACACTGCATTAGTGAAGCAAAGCTGGTTATCTCATGGGGCTGGGAAGCAAAACATAGAGGAAAAGACCAGCCTCATACCTTTCAGGGCACACCTCTCCTTAGGACCTACCATTTAAAAGTTCTAACACTTCCCAATAACTCCACCTGGGGGGGCCTCATGGGCCGTGGTGGGAATGGGGGTTGAAGAGGGGAGAGAAGCAAGACATTCTATAGATCCAAACTATAACCCAAGCCATATAAAACACCAGGCTGCAGGTTTTATCTCTCATGAACTATAATTTGGTGGCATCTGATATAGAACTCCTAAGTTGTGTTTTTTTTTAAATTGTGATTTTTATATAAGTCAACAAACATATAATTTAGGGCATTCTGTTAAAATATACTCTAAAGAGTTTATGGGTTGAACATGGAAATCATAGAGAAATTTGGAAGTATTTTTAACTTAATGAAAATTAAAAGGCCACATTATCAAAATTTGAGCTCCAGTCACTGAGCTGCTCCAGGACACGGATGCCTCCCCACTGTGCCCCTTTGCTTGCCCACACTCTGTGTTGACCCACTGCTGCCTTCTGTAGGCCACTTCCACAGAGGAAAAGGAATCATATCACGTCTACTATCCAGATCCTCCACTCTTTTGACCACTTTGTTGATGCAAGTTAGGGTACTAACCTGCTTCCTGTTGGCACTGAAACGTCAAGAAGAGCCTTACTACTGTCCAAGGGATTGCTGATTATATTAAGTAAGCCAGACCCAAAGAAATATAGGTCCCATGGTTTCCCTCATTTGCAATAATTAGCATATATTTAGGATAATTTTATCAGACTAGCAGAAAAACTCAAAGGCTTTGTACATATGATCATATAAAATGATGCTAAGTGAAATGAATTCCAAGATATGGACACAAGAGGTTTTTGTTGTTGTTTTTAATGTACTATGTGTTTTTTGTTTCCTTCGTCTGTTCTTTCCCCTATGGTATATGCCCTGTTGATTTTGGTATCCTGCATCTAGTATATACATTTGTCTAATTTGGGGAAGGGAAGGGGAATAACAAAAGGATGAAACAAGGATACAGGATGACCCACTGTAACAATGATACCCACAAGACAGTATATTGGAAATGAACTTTACAACTTTGGGGGGGGGCGAGGAAGGGGAGGGATGAAGGAGGTGGAGGAGGAATGGGATAGTGGGAGAACATAGGAGGGGGAAACAATGCTTGAGAAGAAATGTACTCATTGCCTTACTCATGTAACTGTAACCCCTCTGTACAGCATCTTTACAGTAAAATAAAATTAAAAAAAAAATAAAAAGAAACTAGTGAAGGTGTTTAAGAAGAAATTTGCTTGCAATGGAGCTTGGTTTTTTTTTTGAGCATCCAGAATATAGAGAAATAATTAAACTTCAGGATAATCAGCACAAGAACACATGCCAGTTCCTGGTAGAGGCTGCGGGTTCATGGGTTTTAAGTGCTTGTGGGTCACTAAAGCTTCAGTAAGGATTTCCTTGCAGTGAGAGTTTCTTTTCTGTTCTTTATCACAAGTTTAAAAATCTCACAGCTTGTGTAATCATTTGGGATCCACTTATAATTTGAACTAGTGTAACTCCTTCATGCAATAAACTGAAAAGAGCCGATATACAAAACAAAAAAAAAAACTTGAGCCAATATACAAAACAAAAAAAACTTGCTTGAAAACAGTTAAACCTATCCTTAGAATAAATTTCTGCCACAATATAATATTGTTAACACCAAGTATACTTTAATTTTCTAGTTCAGAGTTCAGATATATCAGTTTTGGAGCTACAGATTTATTCCAGTGATATATTTTTATTAAACCTTAATTAAAAAAACCCTTTAAAATTGTGTGCTTTAGCACCAAATTGTAAAAAGAGTATCATATATGACATGCACTACATTAGTGAAATGCTGGTGTGTATAGTCACTTTTAAACTGTACTCTACCAGCTTAGGGAAATAGACCAGGTCAGAAAATCTGCCGTGGATATACAGGTCAGGGGTTTCATCCCTAGCACTGAAAAACAAAACCATTCCTTCGGGCTCTACAAGAATGTCCATTGAATTGTGGCACCATAACAATTTTACAGAACGAATGGATGATGTGGCTTAAAATAGTGCTATCAATGTCATTTTTAACCCTTTCAAAAATGTTAATAATCAATATCCTCTTCCCAACTTCTTTCCAATTCTTAGTCTTATAAAGCACATAGAAGATATTAATCTTATTAAAAATAAATAGAAACAAGACATGAGATCAAGGTTCAATTATCTTTAATTCTTTTATTTCCTTTTCCACTACTCCAAGCTAGTTCTTCATGCCTAAAATCCATGACAATAGACTACAGATGTTTTTCAAGTTTCTTCCTAATCTTTACTCATGAAAATAAAGTTAGCTACTAACCTTAATTACATTTTCTAAGATGGTATAAAAATCAATTATAGGTTAAGACTTCAGCATTTAAGATAGTAAACTTTTTATGAATTTAATTATTAAAATAAAATCACATCTCTTAGTTGGTCTTAATACTTTGCAGAGCTGCAGTATTTGAGAAGCACACAGTCATACCTATCACAATCATATTTTAAAAGTTGTCTAAATATCCACTCTGGGCATTGGAATAATAGGTTTGAAACAACTGCTTAACACTACATTTATAACTGAACCAGAAAACTTTATTTGGAACAGTAGCTAAGGAAGCATTTTTTTAAAATTGAGAATTGAAAAAGGAATAGAACAAGTATGAGACACTAGCTATCCCTTAATTTTACTAGTTTAAAATCTTCCACAGAAACTATTATAAGGGAGGCAATGTCAGTTTAACACCTGACAGAGTAGGGATCCGGTCAAATAACTAGACCTCAGACTGGTACACTGTCTAGTTACACATGTAAATCTTCAAAGGACACATATTAAACAAATACAAAACAGTGCTAGATCTTTTATTTTTTTCCGTCCTTGAAAATGCAGAGTGATATATTTAGGATTATTTTATAGAGAATACTTCATAAGCCATAACTACTTCAAAGTACCTTGAGTTATATCAGAACACATTTTCAACTCCTGTCCATCTATTTTGTTTATATTCATCATATATAATCTACCGTGACAACAATATTGTAAATTCTGGTTAAGATATCATTATTCTACCCAATTTTTCCTTCAAGTTGGATGCTTGTTAATACTTAAGACAAACTTCTCTTTCAAGGTACTAAACACTAAAGGCATTAAATTAGGATATAAAATCCAAGTACTGTTTTATTTATGAAATTAGGTATTTCTTACCCTGGCACTTGGCAGTAGAAAACATAAATGTACTCCAAGACTAAGGCCACTATGAACATAAAGTTATACATGAGAATTTTTTTTCACCTCAACAAAGTCTATTTTTAAAAGGTACTCACTATTGCGCAAATGTCTAAAGGCTGAGTTTTCCAATTCAGCATTTATCTTATCTCTCCTTAAAGAGAAGTTGCCATACAAACAGTAAAAAATGCAATAAGTTAAAAAACAAAAGAAAATAAATCTTGGTTTATTATAGTTCAAGTGTATATGTAAAGCAGGCATAAAAACTGCATCAAAAAATGCATCAAAACATTGTTGACAACTGCTATAGCTCAAAGAAAGCAGCAGAAAACCCTCACAGAAAAGTGACATTCTCATCAATTTTTAACTCCAATGCCCTAAGCAAACTCTATGAATACAAACTAAGAGCAAGAAGTTGTGAATTGATGTTTGTAAAGTGCAGTTTGCCTCAATGCTAAAGGTGCTAAAAAAAAAGCAGGTGTAGCACACATACTACCGAGTTTGAGTACTGGAAAAATCAAATCTTACTGGTGCTATGCTAATAAAAAGGCCAGTAGTAAGTAGCAGTGCTATCTATCAGATTTTGTTCTATGAAACAAGAGATTACTGACTGAGGGAAAAATGTTCTGATTTCAAAAATCAACTCTTCTCTACTTTATCTATCATCAAGAATCCCATCCAGATCACTGGGCCCTTAAATGGTAAAACTGGTAAAAAACAGACTTCCTAGATTCAACCAAATAAACCAAATCAAACTAAAACAGAAAATTCACTAGTATTTAAAAGCAGTAGTCTCAACCAATGTGTGATTTATTTCTCCTACTGGTCATGTTTTCCTTCCCAGACCTTATAACACCAGCTGTTATTTCTAAAGCATCTCTTTCTTGTTCTAAACCTTCTTCTAACATAGTAAGCACGAAACTACAGCACAACATGATAATAGTATCATTTAAAACACTGCTCTGACACATCTCAGGATCTGCTTGTCTCTCTGGATTGGTTTGTGGTGCTAGTCACTAATTTAACGAATGTTTGCTTTCACTTATGATGCAACTGATATGTTCTGTGGACAAACTCATCACAGGCAGTACCCTGTAGCTATAAAGCCAACCTCCTTTCTCTGAATCATTAAAAGTACTTCACTTGAGTGTATGCAAACATAAAAGAGGAGCTTGCAAGTTAACCTTTCTATTATTCAAAGTGTGAAATGGTCTAGAATGGCTAATCAAAATTTTAAAGCCTGACTCTTACATAGTCTTCAAGATATCTCTGGTGGACTAGCAAGGATTTCCCCAGTACAAACTGCTTTCAATCTGCTCATCAAATCTAAGTCAGTTCCATTCATGCAAACAATTTCAAGATTTGTTTCATAATAAGCATAATGCTCATACAATCAAGTTGTGTCTCTCACCAAGCTCTAAAGCAAACAGGAAAGTAAGTCAAATTGAGGAGATAAACCCTCAGTTTAAAACTTACAAAAACAACAACAACAAAAAAATGAAGTGAGAATTATATGAACACCTTGCTTCAGCATGCAACAACACTATTACTACTGTTTTGTCAGCATGACACCTGATCAGTTTCTATACTAAGGAAACATACATGCATATTACCAAATATGTATCTCATATAAATACGTCATCATAAGAAATACTGATTTCACATTAAATTATCTTTTAGATGACAATTGTGTACTTAATAAATTACAACTGCTACACAAATTTCTGAAAAACAATATGAATGTTTTTACAGAGACAGTAATATACACAAGCCCATCAGTAAAATGTGGATGAACAATGTATAAACTAAAAAAGGTTTTATAACCAAGCAGTACGAACATTATGGGGTTTAGGTCTTAGCAACAGGCTACTGGGTTTGTCAAAAAGTGATCTTTCAGTCTTACAACTGAGACCACTGGTAGCACTTGATGTCCTGGAAGCACCTCCTAAAAATACACAAAGAAGAAATTATTTCAGTTATTTAAACACAGCAATCATCTGATAAGCTTCCTCTTCTAATTTTTTAAAAAATTGTTATTATTAAGGTGATACACAGAGGGGTTACAGTTTCATAAGCCAGATAATGAGTACATTTCTTCTTGGCTTCCTCTCTTAATTTTAAGTCCAGAATAACTTTACTTCTTTAGCCTATATGTGTCTAACACTCAAATACTTTTATACATTCTCTCATGAGGAATCCCTGTAAAACTTTAAGTGATTCGCTAAAGTGATTCAAGTGAAAACAAAAACACTTTGTGTAGCCATTTATAATGGTTTTTCACATTAGTTTATTACGTTCAAGACTCAGTGCTAAATACATGTTACAATAGAATAACCCTATCTTAGTCACTACAGTAAGGAAGCAATATGTGTAAAATGAATAAAAAGAATTGTCAGTCACTGTTTTAAGACTCACAAAAATATCAGGAAGTTGTGACACTCTTTAAGTGGTTCCACTTTTAGTACTGGCTTCTATTTTTATATAGTTTAGAATGCAAACATGCAGGAACAGCATCAACATCTACATAGGAATTGTCTGGACCTTTTCTAGATGGTATATGCTTTTCTAGATAGTATAGAGTTACTCCCTTTCTATATCAAACATTAAAAAGCATTATATCTGATACTATTGTTTCCTAATTTTGTTTTAGTTATCCAATTTTGTAAAAGCACACATAAGGACTAGAAGATATTAGAAATAACTCATAACTAGGGAGAATATTTCAGCAACTTTCAAACGGTATTCATTTCTCCCTTGAAAGCACTGATATTTTCAGTTGTTTTATTTCTTTACAAAACCTAAAATTAAGTGAACTATTACAAAGCAAAAAAGGCCAGTAAAAGAAGGAATAAAATGAATTCCAGAAGATAGCATTTTAAAACTCTGTCATAAAAACATTTTTTACCAAAAGGATAAAAGATACAAATACAAAACAGTCTTGCATATTCTTACGTAATGAACTGTATTGGCTAAGAGTAGATCTCACTCGTCTTGAGGGTGTAACTGGGTTGAGATAAGCCATATTGCGATGGTAGTCCATTAGCTGATCTGAGCGCTTCATACCAACTGTTGGTTTCACAGCTTCAAGCCTTTTCAATAAAGCCTTCATTAAAAGTGATATGAAAGTCAGTATTAGCTAAATATAAAGTTTAAAAAAGTAAATACTTTCTAGAACCCGCATTTTTGCTAAAATAGAAAATATTTTAAGTCATTCCTGGTACATGTGAAAGAAACATTTCATTCAAGATGCATCAGAAAAAAAACCTAAGGGTTTTTAAAAAAATTTTTTTGTTTTGCCTAACCTATAGGTAAGAAAACCAGTATGTTTAAAACAACTTACTATGATAGGTTTGGGTATAAAGCGTCTCTCCAAAATACATACGTGTTGAAGGCTTGGTCCTCAGTGTAGCACTTTTAGAAAGTGACTGTATTATGAATGCTCTGAGCTCATCAATGGACTAATGCACTGGTGGAGTTATAATTGCATTACTGGGAGTGATGGAAACTGTAGAAGGTAGGGTTTTATTTGGAGGAAGTAGGTCACTGGGAGCATATTTTTGAAGACTATTTTTTGTCTCTAACACCTTCTTTTATCTCTGAGGTGAACAGGTTTCCTCTGCCATGACCTTTTGACATGTTTCTGTCTTGCCAAAGGCTATGGAGCCAGAATAAATCTTTTTTTCTATGTAAGTTGCTTATCTCAGGTATTTTGTCATAGCAACATAAAGCTAACACACAACTCAGTTCTCAAGGGCATCTCATGTCAAGTTATAACCTTAACAAAGGTATTATATGTTGAAATATGGTAAATACAGAAACAGCATAGTAAGCTTTGTAATACTAGGAACTCAAGTGTTAAACCTTTAACATTATCACAAATATATCTAAGCAAATACTATTAATTCTATCTGCATACATTGGAGAGCAATGGTTTTAACTGTTTCCTTATATTAATATCTCAGGGGCTCCTAGGATATAAGGGTCCAAAATGAATAGGGTCTTTATATATTCTGATATTTTTACTTAAGATTTTAAGTAAAATTTACTTTTGAAAAAAAAAGTGCTTCTTTTTTTTTTTTTTTTTGGGTCCGGTCGTGGGGCCTGAACTCTGGGCCTGGGCGCTGTCCCTCAGCTCTTCAGCCCAGGGATACCGCTCTACCACTTGAGCCATAGCTCCCCTTCCAGCTTTTTTCTTTTTTCTTATGTGGTACTGGGGAATCAAACCCTGGGCCTCAGGCATGCAAGGCAAGCGCTCTATCACTGAGCCACCTTCCCAGCCCCAAAAGGTGCTTCTTTTCTTTGCTGTTAAATTACACGATGGAAGTGGATGTGTGACTTAAGTGGCAGAGTACCAGCTGTGAATAAAAAAGATAAGCAAGAGCTTGAGGCCTTGTTCAAGCTTGAATACTGGCACACAAAAGAAAAAAAAATTAGGGGGCTGGGAAAGAGGCTCAGTTGTAGAGTGCTTGCCTCGCATGCATGAGGCCCTGGGTTCGATTCCTTAGTACCACATAAACAGAAAAAGCTGGAAGTGGCATTGGGTCAAGGGGTACAGCACTAGCCTTGAGCTGAAGAGCTCAGGGATAGGAAAAAGAAAAGAATTTGGTTAGCAAGAAAACCAATTACTAAAAGAGAATGCTTTAAAAGGTATATAAATTAACAGCCCAAAGCAATTTAGTATCTGATAGCATAGTATTTTCTTATTGATTCATTGTAAGTCTAATGTATAACATTCCAAACTCTAATTCTTTCTTAAATCAAAAAGTGAAAAAGAGTTTCTTTGGCTTAATTTCAAAGGCATTTTTGGGAAAGGAATATGCAGACGAAATTGGTTAGGAGATTGATCCATAGTTCTATTACTCTCTCCACTGCCTTAAAATGTCTTTGGATCAAGCTGATCTTTATTGCAAGAGTGTATTGATAAGTACTAAGATTCACATAAAAAAATCAGTCTCATAAATTCATAAGACAAACTTTTCTCCATATAATCATTTTCTTTTTCTGTGATATAGTAAAGGATTGATCAATTTGAACATTTAAAAAGGTATAATTTACTTGGTGCTGGTAGCCCACGCTTGTAATCCTACTTACTCAAGAGGCTGAGATATGAGGATCACAGTTCAAAGCCAGCCTTGGCAGAAAAGCCCATGACACTCTTATCTCCAATTAACCACCAAAAAACCGGAAGTGGTGCTGTGGCTCAAGTGGTAGAGCGCTAGTCTTGAGTTGAAGAGCTGAGGGACAGTGCCCAGACCCAGAGTTCAGGCCCCATGACCGACAAAAAGAAAAAAAAAAAAGAATCTCCTGGACTTTCCTTCTCAGGATGGCTTTTAACCATGATCCTTAGATCTCAGCCTCCTGAATAGCTAAGACTATAGGTATGAGCCGCTGGGGTACCCAGCTATCTAGTAAAGATTTTGACATCATTAACATTGCTTTATATTACATTCTAGTTATTTGACATGCAACAATATTATCTTTCTGGCTAAGTTATAAAACTGCATGATAAGTAAGATATTGTTTTTCATACTTCCTACTGTCTTACTCAGCTCATGACACATTAAATACTTGTTTAGTGGAATGAAAAATGGTAAGAATGGTTACTTAAAATCCAACTTATGGTTTACAAAATCTTAGGTGATCCTAAGATTAGTTTCTACTAATGAATTTCAAAATTTTATCCGTAATTTTTTTGGAAATTGTATTTTACCTGAAACTATATATATTTAGGGCACACAACTTGATGTTTTGATAAATATATACACTGTGAAGCCATCTACAGACCTGATGTCCAGCACAGTGACTATCGTTATTATATTTGTCCAAAATTTTTTTTACATCCAGAAAATGGTAGTTTTTTTTCAAAAGAAAATTACCTTACCCTGCATCTGGCCCATCTTCTGAGTTTGAAAGATGAAAACAAATTAATGAATAATGTGTTTGTGATTTCTGTAGCTATTAGCAGAAAAGATTTCTAAAGGTCGATTAAGAGATAACAAGTTTCCCAACCTCAGGGAAGATCAAGATAATTGCTCCTTACAGTTTTCCACAGCTAGAGTCTAACGTAGTCATCAGTTTTTTTTTCTGTTACAGAAGCAGCTAACATTATTTGAAAACTAGACAAGAAAGGAAATAAGTAAGCTATACATATAAACAAAATACAGTTCTAATATAATTCTAATGTAAATTCCATTATAGCTGACTATATGGATCAAGCACTCCCTCTAGTGGACAAAATTACTTTTTGTTATTTATTGATTGATTTTCCAGTCCTGGGGCTTGAACTCAAGGCTGGAGCAGTGTCCTTGAAATTCTTTTGCTCAAGGCTAGCACTCTACCACTTGAGCCACAGTGCCACTTCCAGCCCTTTCTGTTTATGTGGTACTGAGGAATCAAAACCAGGGCTTCATACATGCCAGGCAAGCACTCTACCACTGAGCCACCTTCCCAGCCCCGGACTCTATTTTTTTATACATTTGCCTTCCTCTGCTTTTTGTGTACAGTGCTTCTTTATTCTCCTGATTATATCCAGTTAAATAGCTTTTAAAATGCTAATGGAAAAGTACTAAAACATAAGTACTAAGAATGTCATACCTTTTAGCCACTGAGAACTACCTGTCATTGGTGACTGGGCTAAAAAGGGATATAAATAATAAAATCTACAAACTAATGGATGCTTGTGCACACAACCAACATAGAAACAACTACAGAAGTGTGTGTGTGTACAGATGTACATGAATTTAGTGTATAAACAGCCTAGAAAACAGGTTAAAAGGCATATCAGATCACATGGAAGAACTATTAAAGCCAATATGGCTCTATTAAATAGAATTTGGTAGGTGGCTGATTATATAAACAAATACGTAAAAAGAGCTTCACTGAAGCAGCATACTAAGAAATGTAATGAAAAAGTTTCATGTACCATAGCATAAAAAAAGTTATTAAGAGGCTGGGAAGGTGGCTCAGTGGTAGAACGCTTGCCTTGCATGCCTGAGGCCCTGGGTTCGATTCCCAGCACCACATAAGCAAAAAGAAAAAAGCCAGAAGTGGCGCTGTGGCTCAAGTGGTAGAATGCTAGCCTTGAGCTGAAGAGCTAAGGGACAGCGCCCAGGCCCAGAGTTCAGGCCCCACGACCAGACCCCCCCCAAAAAAAGTTATTAACTAAACTATAAAACCTTACTAAGGAAGGTTACAAGACAGTTTGTAAAATGGAAAAAATGTCACTTTACTGTTTGAGCTCTGCAACTTGGGGCGACAATACTGTGTCATAAGGTAGCTATGAGAGTTAAATGACCTTAGATGGGAGGGAGAGAAAACAAGGGAGTAGGTGACACTGTTCAAAAGGAAAGATGCGCAGTACCTGACTTACGTAACTGTAACTTCTCCATATATCACCTTTACAATAAAATAAAAACAAAAGAATGACCTAACATTAGTAAAATAGGCACTGATCACATCTTAAATAAAAAACACTTCAGAGTCAAGTGAGTAAAGACAAAAAACAAACCCAAATGTTGGTGACATTTAATTTCACAAAATGTGAACAAATCAAATATTGCTAACTAAGTACAGAAAACTATCAAATAGCATCTCATCACCTGCCAACCTAACTTGCTTTATTGTTATCTATTTTCTGCTAAGCACAGACTAAATTGTTTAATAAATATACTAATTCAGCTAGACTTGTTAACAAATTGAGGGATTATGTGGCTCAACAGGATCTTACTGATGATGAAATTTAATGAGGATTAATATTGGAGATTGTCTTGGGAGTTTTAAAAACCTCAAAAACAATTTTAGGTATGAGTTTTTGAGTGCTTATTAAAGGTCTAACTTTAAGTTACTTAGTTTAAGACACTAACTAGGTTTAAGATCTTGGCTTAACCATATATTGAATTATTTAAACACTTGAGGCCTCAGTTTTTTCATCTATAAGGTATGTATTTAAAAAGTGCCTGCCTCAAAGATTTTTCAAAATTAAATAAGACAATATTTGAAAGATAATATGCTCTACCACTTGAGCCACAGCACCACTTCCGGCTTTTTCTGGTTATGTGGTACTGAGGAATCGAACCTAGGGCCTCACACATGCAAGGCAAGCACTCTACCACTGAGCCACCTTCCCAGCCTTGAAAGATATTTAGTACAATGCCTAGTTTTTAAATAAATGCTTACTATCAACAATTACTATGAACTGAATTTTATGAAGATGATGTTATAATATAATCAAGGGTTTCAGTAGTCCTTGTGTGTATATATATATGCAATATATCATATATATGTAGTATTTATGTGATATACAGAAAGCTATGAAGCAACTCATGTCAACCTTGTATCAACTAGCTTTTGTATGTGTGTACATACACAAAAACATCTCAACCTGCAACCATTGGTTTGAAACAATGTTTCAGTAGATATACTATCAAACTTATTCCAGATATAGTTATTCTTTAAAATAAATGATATATAATTTATTACCTTTCTAGGATATAATGAAGCAAAACAGATTGAACCAGTGACTGAACAATATTTCACAAAAAGAGAATGCATCCGATCCTGAGTATCATTTCTTTTTTTTCCTTTTTTTTCCTTTTTTTGGCTTGAACTCTGGGCCTGAGCGCTGTCCCTGCACTCTTCAGCTTAAGGTGAGCACTCTACTGCTTGAGCCACAGGGCCACTTCCTGAATATCATTTCTTGTATTACTGCAGTGATTTAACTAGACAAAAGTTTTCAGTATTTTCCTCTAATGGTCCCTTTTAATATACACTTTACCAGATTTAAAAAACCATACGTATCTTCAGACTCATAGCTCATCACACAGTTCATGCCACACATATCTATACTTGATTTTATGTAATTAAGATTGAAAATGTGGCTGCTTAAGTTTCCTCTAAGTTGTACTTTTAAATTAGCACAAATTTTTTTTTTTTAAATGATTAAAAGATTTCAGTTACTTACCAGATTTTCTCTTTCAATCCTTTGTTGTTCCCTCTGCCTGTTGAGAGCACTATGATACAACTTAGGAGGATGGCCAATTGATCTCCCGGGAATACTTTTGCTTCCTGGTTTTTCAGCCTGTCTTGAGAGTTCTCTCAAAAGCCTCTGATTTTCCCGGTCAATCTGTCTCACCTCCTCTCTTGTGAAAGAGTAGTTTTTCCTAGGTAGTACCGAAGGCTGATCAAAGTGCTGCTTTTGTGATCCCTTTTTATCTAATTGTAGAAAAGCTAAGAAGTGAACAAAAAGAGTGAAGATGGCTAAATGAAGTAGCTATGATGGTACATACTTTAACCTTCGAAATACAATTAATGAAAAGGTAAGTATAAAATAATCCTAATGGCTTTATTTAGAAGAAAAATTAAGAGTTCCTTAGGCACAAAAGCTATACACAGACCAATGAAAGTGTCTGAATAATACGTATTAATTTTTTTTTCTCGAGGGGTGGTACTCAGGGCCTTATACTTACTAGGTGCTCTATAACTATAGCCATGCTTCTACTCCTAAAAATGGTTTAACCTGAATAAACTTTCAGACATAGATATATTTATATAAATAAATCTACTTAAACTTACATACTTAGAAATACTGCTTTCTCCTAATTTTTCTTAGTGAAACATTCTGTTCAAACTCTTTAAATATATTTTGCTCTAGCTTCACTAGAAGCACTGCTGAAGTAATTTAATTCTAATTTGTTAGTTTCTCCATTATTAGATGTACTTTTCACTTAGCTATTTGAGTTAAAACAGCATTTATAAATTTATGCATGATGTCAATGTTTAGGTTTCTGAAAATTTTATCCCAAGCTCTACTCTCATATTAGTTCTTTAAAAGTATTAAAACTAGAGGAATATTCATGATCCCTATGTGTGTGTGTGTGTGCTAGTACTGGGGCTTTAATTTAGGACTTTACACTCTTATTCGGCTTTTTAACCGATGTCTGGGATTCTACCAACTGCCTCCAGTTCTGGCTTTATATTAGTTAAATGGAGGTAAGAGTCTCAGATTTGTCTGTCCAGGCAGGCTTCAAATCTCCCTTCTCCAATGAGTAAGGATTAAAGTGTAAGCCACTAGATCCCAGCTGGGTCTCTTTTAAGAGATTTTAAAAAGGGACATGCATGTAGCTCAGATAAGTAATCTCAGCTATATGGGAGACATAGGCAGGAGGATCACATTCTGAGGTGGGCTGGTATAAAATGGGCAAAAGGGCTGAAGACAAATGAGATGGCCGAGCACTTCATACCAAACTCAATGCCCTGAGTTTGTCAATAAACACATAATGACTTAAAAAATTCAGTCCTTACAACAGAAGTCCTAATTCAGGGAATAACCAAATTTACTAAGCAAATCTCCCTTTATCAGTAAGTTGCTAGATAAGAAATTCTGTGACAGTCTTCCTATTCCCTTTCTTTGAATATGGGCAGGCTTGTAACTGCCTTGACCAATATGGCATAATCAAAATGATGAAAGGACTTTCAAAGTTAAGTAATAAGAGGAGAAATAGCCCCTCACACACGTTTCGTTTTTGGAATCCCTGTGCTCAGAGCCCTATGTTACTACACATATCTGACTGTCTTGAGACTTCAAGCAATGAGGAAACCAAATCACATAAAGTGGCAAGTATAGGCATGACGACGCACAGTGCTATTAGAAAAAGTTAATCAAGAAGCCCTAAAATCCATGGCACTAGGTTTGAGACGTGATGGCAAGTAAAGGTAGAGGAGCCTGGTGATGATTGCTGATGAAATCTGAGAGGATAAACTGGCGGATAGTTTAGTAATACAACTGTTGCCTATGATAACAAGAAAAATGGAAAAAGATCTCATACACTGATGCACTTGGCTAAGATCTCCAAATGAACTACTTAATATATAATTGCTTATTTTATCCATAAAAAGACAGAATAGAGATGAGCTAGGAGGAAAAAAACAAACTACTGAAGCAAAGGTATTGGTCAGTTTTCAAGTAAAACAGGCAATAATAGAGGCAGGAGTTAGAGGATTCAGAATGAAACTACCACCCTCATTTTTCCCAACTTTAAGAAGATTCTTAAAGTATTTAAAAAGAATTCTACATTTTGCTGTACCTGAAGAACAATTTTTTCCCAACTTTAAGAAGATTCTTAAAGCATTTAAAAAGAATTCTACATTTTGCTGTACCTGAAGAACAATACCCAAGAAATCTCAGCTGTACCTGGACGTGATCTAGGTCCTGGATCTTGAGGTTGGGGGCATCTTTGGAAAGGGGAAATATATTTTTGCATATGGGAGGAACAAAAATGTGTGGCCAAAAATATCACTGAAGAGATTTTAAGCTATGGCTATGAGCTATTTGCCATTCCTCCTATTAAAAAGTAAGGTCTTTGTCCTTCTACTTGTAATTTGAGAGGGTTTATGATGAGTTGCACTAAGAGTATAAAAGAAACAATGCTATGTGACTTCAAGTGCTAGGTCATAAAAGGCAGTGAGATGTCTGTACTGCTTCCTAGAAAACTTCTGCCACCCTCAGCCAATTATCCTGAGGCTCCCATGTGAAAGTCAGGCCATCTGTGAAGAAGTCACAAGGAGAGTCTGTGTTTGGTTTTCTGGTTAGCAGCCCTTGTCTGTAGTTGTCCCAATGCCAAGTATCTGACACGTGAGTAAATGGGTACTCAAAGGAGTTCAATCCTCAGCCAGCGGGTCATCCTTACTTTTGAGTTACTCCACATTAAGTGATAGGGAAACTGCTTATGCAGCAATAACTCATTTCTTTTTAAAGCCAAAACATCAATGACAGTGCAGTCTACAAATACTTAAAAAAAATTTTTTTTTGTGTAAGTTATTACAGTCTTCCCTTATAGTTGCGCCTTCCTCAATTTCACTACCTAGTTCTGTTTTTGGTGCTGAGCTTGAACTCAGGACATGAGTCCTGTCTCTGTCTTTTGGTTCAAGGATAGCACTCTACCATTTGAACCACAGTTCCATTTCCAGCTTTTTGCTGTTTAATTGAGGATGGGATTCTTATACTTCTGACCGAGCTGGCTTTGAATTGGGATCCTCAGAACCTCAGACTCCTCAGTAGCTAAGATCTACCAGCACCCACCCTTTTGTCTTGCTTTAACTATACATTTTATGTGTCTATTTGGTATACTAAGTTCATTTACTAATCTAAAAACTTTCTTCTTAGTCCCTTGTTACTTTTTTCATCTTTTTTTTTTTTTTTTGTAGGTCGTAGGGCTTGAACTCTGGTCTTGGGTGCTGTTCCTGCACTCTTCGGTTCAAGGTGAGTGCTCTACCGTTTGAGCCACAGCACCAGTTCCGATTTTCTAGTTATTTACTGGAAATAAGAGTCTCACAGAGTTTCCTGCCTGGGCTGGCTTTGAACCATGATCCTCAGATCTCAGCCTCCTGAGCAGCTAGGATTACAGGCATGAGCCACTGGCACCGGCCTTTATATCTTCATTTCTATCTTGTATGCTAATATATTTCCTCTTTTTTTTTTTTTGGGTCCGGTTGTGGGGCCTGAACTCTGGGCCTGGGCGCTGTCCCTCAGCTCTTCAGCTCAAGGCTAGCACTCTACCACTTGAGCCACAGCACCACTTCCGGCTTTTTTTTTTTCTGCTTATGTGGTGCTGAGGAATCAAACCCAGGGCCTCAAGTATGCAAGGCAAGCGCTCTACCATTGAGCCACCTTCCCAGCCCATATTTCCTCTTTTTTAAAGGAACATAACTAGCATCTCTTTTTAAAGTCTTTATCATCCTTCCTATGCTATTTCAAACATCCTTTTAGGTTGTTTATCTTCCCACCCCCGAATTAAACTGGTATTTAATGAACACAACAGGAATTGACTTCCCATCTTTTTATTGTAATAAAAACATACATGACAAAATTTACCATCTTAACTATTTTTCATGTATTACATACATTCAGTGTTGTGCAGCCATAACCATCATCTATAACTCATTACCTTGGAAAACTGAAAAAACTATACTAGTTAATTTCCATCTTCTTTTTTCCAACCCCTTGCAATCACAGTTCTTCTATCTCCATAATTTTTTTTTTTTTTTGGTTGGTTGGGGGGCCTGAACTCTGGGCCTGGGCGCTGTTCCTCAGCTCTTCAGCTCAAAGCTAGAGCTCTACCACTTGAGCCACAGCGCCACTTCTACTTTTTCTGCTTATGTGGTGCTGAAGAATCAAAACCAGGGCCTCACACATGCATGGCAAGCATTCTACCACTGAGCCACCTTCCCAGCCCTCTCTATGATTTTTATTTAACTACCTTATATAAATGGAATCACACATTATTTGTCTTCTTCAGACTTGTGTATTTCACTTGGTAGAATGTACTGTAGGATCATCTGTACTGTGGCAGGTGTCCCTTTTAAGGCTGAACAGTTATTGCTACTTTAATACAATAACAGTGCCTTCTGATAAATTAAAATCATTCATGTATATTGTCAGGTCTCTTTTCCAATATTTTAAAATGTTTTTGTTGCTGTGTTTTGTTTTCTCTTTTGGAAGATCGCTTAAGTTAAAAAAATTCTTTCCCTAAGATTTTCTCCAAATTTAGAACACTATGAACACTGCAATCACATATTCAAATTCTGTTCTCCTAGAGGTTCTTAATCTTTTTTTATCTGAGGACTTCATACTCCTCTAAAAGTTGAAATCTAAATGTTTATATGTGTTACATCTATCACTATCACATATTAAAAGTGAAGGGGCTGTAAGTGGTCGCTCAGTGATGGAGGGCCTGCCTGGCAAGCATAGGTTCCTGGGCTCAAACCCCAGCACTGAAAAAGAAAAAAAATTAAAAAGAGAAAAACTTTATAGAGATGTTTATTTTTTTCTGATGTTAACTACACCAATATGCATTATTACAGTAAGTTTTAAAAACATTTAGTGAAAGCTTGATTCTCATAGCTGCTCTGCACTGTTATGTTCATCATTTAGCACATTTTACTTCACAATACATAGGGAAGGGGACTGTAAAGGCTAGTTAAACATAGTTTTATTGGTGAAAACAGTTTTGTCCTTCCAGAGCCTTTCTGAAATCATTGAGCTGTTTTCAACAATTCCAATATTATGTACTTTATCATAATAATAAGGAAACTTGGGTCTTCTCTGTTGTTTTTAGCTAATGTTTCACAAATGCTTGCTAACACTTGGCTGTGTGTTGAGGGTATTAATATTTCCTACAATTTGCCAGGGAATGGATCAAATGTGCTGCCAGGTAGGATATGCTGATCTCATCACAGGCATCTCCTTCTCATTTTGGAGAATAACAAGGTTTGTATATTTCCTCTTCCACAAAGTACCTACTTCATTCCTCCCCTACAGGAAGTTAAAAAAACTAATAAACTAACCAGTGAATTAATCAGTTTCTTTCCTCATCCATGCTTGCTTTGTCCCATTTCTTATATTCAGTTGCCTTCTCAAAATACATCCCACAGTTATTATTTCATTCTTAATCAAAGTGATAAAATTTATTTTGCCCTGAAAGATTCTTCCTAAACTGACCTAATTTTACATATACAAAATATGAAACATACCTTCAAATTCAGTCTTATCAACTTCTTCAGAATTTTGCAAATGTCACTCACATCATAACTAGGCGTCAAAATTCTGTTACTATTCCATTTTATAAAGCCTTCGATGCTTATTCAATGATTTTATGGCTCAATGTGAAAGACCTAACTCCAATCACATTTTTTTCAACATTTATATAGCAAAAGCACAGTTGGGATGGGGATGAAAAATTCCCAAGTCAACCTCCTCACTGGGTCTAAAAGAGGCTGGATACTGAGAAATTCTACTAATCTTTCAAAGTTCACTTTAACACCACATATCTAATAGCCAGTCTACATTATTCTTCCCTTTTTCTAATATTTCTCACAGATGCACCCAGAACTTTGAATCTAGAATGGATCCTAACAACCTAAAACAATTATCTTACAAATGAAGAATCAGGAATTCAGGAGAGTTACTTGCTAGTTGATAGTCATAGGGAACAACAAAAAGCCTAAACATTTCTGCTTTAACTTTCACAACTTTCTCTACTTTGCTATATAAGTATCTAATACAGTACTATCGCACCGTTCTGGACCACACTTGTATTTTTTTTTATTTTCTGCTTCAAGGGCTTATTTTATGTTCAAATTTATATTTAACAGTAAGTTTTTTAATTTAAATAGTGCTTTTAACACTGTTACCAACACAGGCATTCCTATCTGAACACTTGCCTAATATCTGCTTTAACAACCTGTTGTTAATCTTTTTACTCCAAATTCACTACTGGAGTCAATAAACTCTTCAAATGAATCTCTATGAGTAAGCCAGTGAAAATGCTTAAATTGAGAGAATGTTGAATGTGTTCTGAGTTTCTACCTCAGCTATTCATTGATAGGATCATGTTATGATTAAAGAAAAATTAAGCATATCATACATTATCACCTCCCCCATATTAAGAGGATTTATCTTTTAAGAAAATCAAACAGAGACGGGTGCCAGAGGCTCATGTCTATAATCCTAGCTACTCAGGAGGATGAGATCTGAGGACTGCAGTTCAAAGCCAGCCTGGGCAGGAAAGTCCATGAGACTCTTATCTCCAATAAACCACTAAAACACCAGAAGTGGTGCTGTGGCTCAAGCGGCAGAGCGCTGGCCTTGAGTTGAAGAGTACAGGAACAGTGCCCAAGCCCAGAGTTCAAGCCCCATGACAAACAAACAAAAAAAAAGAAAATGAAACAGGGCCTTGAAAAAAAACTGGTGAGCCAAGGAAGCTAAGCCTAGAAAAACTGAAAGTGATAAAGTTGAAAATGATAAAATGTATCATAAAATGTAGAAAAAGCACAAGCCTGGATATGCAATCATGTCCATCTACCATGACCACGACCATGTTTAGTTATATGGGAAAAGATACAAAAATTTTAGGAAAAAAATATTAGAACTGGAGAACTTTATTGGGTAAGTCAAATATGAATAACTAAAGACATACCTTATACAATGTGCTGATAGTGACTTTAATGCTTAAAATGCTTCATTATAAAGAATGCTAGGTGGGCTTATGTATTCCAACAGAAAATGTCCCAATTGGCAAAAAGCCACCTTTGTTCCAGTACCTTAAAAAGCCTGAGCACCATTTACTGGTAAGTCTCTCAGAGCAGGGTTCTCTACTGTGCAGAATGAGGCATGCCTCAATTCAGCTCAGCTCTATGTTGAAAATTTTCCTCACTATTTTAATTACAGGTGAGAAAAAGGAATCAAGAATTTTACAACTTAAAATAGATTTTCTTATATCCAGATAAGTTTCAGAGATGGGATAGATAAGCATAGTGAGAGATGACTTCCTGTATTCCCAATGGAACCCAACAGCTTAGTGTTTTGATACTGCTATTGCATGAGTTGCATATTGGGTTCTATTTTGTTTTTCTGATCCAGAATCTTAATTTTTACAAGAGTGACCTGTGTGCACTTTAAAGTTTGAGGAATTATGGTGGAGAAAGTTGACTAATTCATATATATTCTTACTTGCCTTTTTTGGGGGGGGCGGGGGGTGGTACTGGTTTGAACTCAGAGCCTAAATCTTTCTAGGTTGGTCTAGCTCTCCCACTTGGATCATGCATTCAGCCCTGCTTCTTGCTATTCTGGGGATAGCTTTGAGCCACAATTCTTGAGCAATTAGTCTCTTGAGTAGCTAAGATTATAGGTATGAACCTCCCGGGCCTGGCTTCCTATTCCACTCCTGTACAGATCTTTCTTCTCCAAATTCCCACTGTTTAATATAGGGTGATTCTGACTGGCTCAGGATAATCTTATTTCCTTTGCCAATAACTGGATCAGAAATGGGAGCAGGGGAAGGTGGCTCAGTGGTAGAGCGCTTGCCTTGCATGCCTGAGGCCCTGGGTTTGATTCCTCAGCACCACATAAGCAAAAAGAAAAAAGCTGGAAGAGGTGCTGTGGCTCAAGTGGTAGAGCGCTACCTTGAGCTCAATAGCTGAGGGACAGTGCCCAGGCCCAGAGTTCAGGCTCCACGACTGGAACCCCCCCCCCCCCCCACAAAAAAAAGAAATGGGAGTAGGAAGCCAGGTGCCAGTGGCTCATACCTGTAATCCTAACTACTCAGGAGATCTGAGGATTGCAGTTCAAAGCCAGCCCTGGCAGGAAAGTCTGTGAGACTCTTATCTCCAATAAACCACTAGAAAACCGGAAGTGGCGCTGTGGCTCAAGCGGTAGAGTGCTGGCCTTGAGCTGAAGAGCACAGGTACAGTGCCCAAGCCCAGAGTTCAAGTCCCACAACTGACAAAAATGGGAGTAGGAGTATAACTTAATTCTGGGCATGAGACGAAGTGGAAGTTAGCTAGGAATGTTTCCTTACAATGTTTCCTTACTCTCTGGACATTGCAATGTCTCAAGTGAAAACTGATGCAGATAGGCTAAAAATGAAGACAGAAAAGCACCAGGCAGGAAAAAGAGTAGTAAGCATTTTGAGTCTTCTATAAGGCCATTAAAATTAGTCTAAATGTTATATTCCTAGTTAATTGACTTTGCGACCAATCTTATGTGGTAATGGAAATGACATTCCAGATATTTATGGTAAAATAGGATATTGGGTAAAACTGCTAAATTATCAATCATTTAAAATAAAAATCTTATTAATCAGCAAAAATTCATAAGGTATATTTAAGCTTGGTATCTAGTTTTTAATATAAAAATGTTGAAAATTACCTTTTAAAAGATGATTCAGGTCCATTGTGTCATGCAAGACTTTCTGTTTATGTCTTTGGTCTAAATTAGACTCTAACACTGGTGACTTTGGGGCAAGATGGGGCACGTGTTTTTCTTTTCCTTTTTTGATTGCTTTCAAATATTTGGAATCCTTTCTTAAAACCTCAACATCTTCATAAACTTCTTGGTTCACATTTTCTTGTTTTTTAACTTTTACTTTTTGATGATTTGATGTTCCCAGTTCAAAAGACTGAACAGGGCTGATGTCTGGAGTTGACAAAGGAGTAACATCTGTCACAGTATCTTCAGATTCTTCAGTGTCTCCCATTTTTGGCTTACTACTTGAAGGTTGTGTCCCTGTTAATTTTTTTCTTGGCTTATTTTTTTGTTTTGGTGATAAGACAGTTACACTAGGTATTTGTTTCTTTGATGAAGATTTACGGACATTAGCTTCAGTATCTGAAAAGTCTGTACCTGAATCTGAAGATGAGGAAGATAAAGATGAAGAGGAACTGACCTTAGAATACTTTTTACTTACATTTTTTTTAAAGTTATTAGATGGTTTAGCTGACTTTGATCTCACAAGATGTTTTTTTCCATCATCACTGCTTTCTTCTCCATCTGTATAGTAATCATCCTCACCTTCTTTTACAATTTTAGGAATTCTACTCGGCATGGGCAAGTGTATTTTATGTCCTGTTGTAGTATCACGTAATTTTTTTGATCTCGAACAAGTAGTTAATGATGAACTTTTGATTTGTATATCATTTGCTACAGGGTGTTCATCTAAAACAAGTTTTGCTTTTCTTTCATTTCCTTTTTCATTAAGGTAATTTTCCTTTGTTTGTATTCCAAATGTCAAATGTACATGTTCTGTATCTTTATCTATTCTCTCTTTAAGACCATCATTCTGTCTGTCAAAAACTAATAAGTTATTTTCACATTTATTTGCTTCTTCAAAGTCACTGTCAAAAAAAGAATGGTCCACTTCACCTTCTGATATATCTCCAAACCGATCCATGATGGCAAAAATATATCTGAAAAGTAGTAAAGTGTAACTATTAGATTGAAAAGTAATTTCCAAATAGTTTTCATTTTTAGACTGTAAGTACATAATTTTACTCAACTGAGAAATTTGGTTAGTAGCTAAAGAGAAACATTACAAAACACAGTCAATTGATGATGGGGCTTTAGGCATAAATAAAATTGTACCAATTATTGGAGACAAAGAAGTCTAATAGTTAAATTCACAAAGATCATCAAGGTAGGCACATCACAGAGATAGGTATTTACATGAACCATAAGAAAAATCTGTTTCATGGGGGAGGGAGAGGGGGGAGGCTGGGAAGGGATGTGAAGGATAAACAAAGGAGGAGGCTGCAATGCTTGGTAAGAAATGTACACATTATCCTGCCCATGTAATTGTAACCCCTCTGTACAGTATGTTCACAAATAAAATAAAATAAAAAAAGAAAAATCTGTTTCATAGTTTAAATTCAGTTTAAAGTTTAGAAGGAAGGATAATGTGTTAGCCAGTTTTTTACTGTGGTGACAATATTTTATCAAAAGAACTTGAAAAAGGATTTATTTTAATCCACGTTCTCAGGTTTCAGGTCATTACAGCAGGGAGGACACCACACAGCAGCAAGAACCAAATAGCAACCAGGAAGCACAGCATAGCCAGAAGAGACCAACACAAGTCCTTCAAGGACAGATCCTCAAAATGTTCTACTGCTTCCAAACAATCCATATATTTCAATTCCCATTACTTCCCTACTCCTCCTAAGAGTATACTCAAAATTTTAATCCATCAAAAGATTAAGTTATTCATGAATGATTTAAAGTCATATCTAGAAACACCCTTCACAGGCACATACAGAAGTGTGTTTTACAAATTTCTAGGCATCTCTTGACAGTGAAGATTAACAATTATATAGATAGTATTAAAATTTCACAAGATCAGTTATTCCAATGTCAGTAGTATAATGGAAACTAACAAAATCTCATGTTTTAGTACTTACTTTGTTCTATTAAAAGTTCTCCCATCCTTTCTCATTGAGGAATAAAAACTAATGCTTACATAGACTGTACACATAGCTTAGAGTCAAACTTCTGATGATTATTATTATCATAATCTGTCATATAAATACATAGGCAAGATTATAGGGGAAGAGTATATATTTCTCACTGCCTTAAAGGGAGACTTGTATAAGAGACATTTTCTAGCAGACAGCCAATAACCATCAAAAAATAGAAAAAACAAAGCATACTTTTTAAATATTAAGTTAAACAGTAGAATAAATGGGCAGAGACCTGTTTTTGTCGTAAACTTTAACTTACTTGTTGACCTATACATTTTTTTTTTGGTCAGTTGTGGGGCTTGAACTCTGGTCCTGGGTGCTGTCCCTCAGCTCTTCAGCTTAAGGGGAGCACTCTACCAGTTGAGCCACAGCGCCACTTCCGGTTTTCTGGTGGTTTATTGGTTGTTAAGAGTCTCATGAACTTTCCTCCTGGGTTGGCTTTGAACCACGATCCTCAGATCTCAGCCTCCTTAGTAGCTAGGCTTACAGGCATGAGCCACTGGCACCCAGCTGACCTATAAAGTTTTATAGGTACAATTATTTAAATAATAAAATATTTAATTTAAATCTTAATTTAAAAAAATAATTAAATATTTAAATGGGGCTGGGAAGGTGGCTCAGTGGTAGAGTGCTTGCCTTGTATGCATGAGGACCTGGGTCCAATTCTGCAGAACCACATAAACAAAAAAATGCCAGAAGTGGCACTGTGGCTCAAGTTGTAAAGCAGTATCTTTGAGCTGAAGAGCTGAGGAGCAGTGCCCAGGCCCAGAGTTCAGGCCTCAGGACCTACCAAAAAAAAAAAAAAAATCTTAATACCTAAAACAATTTGAATTAAACTAGAATTATTATTATGGAGTTTAAAGTTTTTAAAATGTTTAGAATTACTAGAGTAGCCTTAGAAGCAGTGTCTCATTATCTATTATTAATCTTGAGTTCAGAGATTGATTTCTCCACTATAAATGCACAGGATTCCCTAGAAGCCAGCAAAGAAAAACAAGCATCTTACTAGACCATCTACTGTTGCCAGAAAGCACAATATTCAAATATTCCTGGAGTAGTGGTAATAAAGGATTCAATTTGTGTTAGCTCTGTCATTGTGACAAAAACACCTGGTAGAAGCAATTTAAAGGAAGGAATTATTTATTTTGGCTCATGGTTTTAGATATTTAAGTTTATCATGGCAGGGAGACCAGAGCAGAGTAGTTCACACATAGCAAATGAAGCAATGTGGTAGAGGCCGCTCATCTCATGGTCCATGAGATGAAAAGAGTATCTGGGCTATAGTGGGCTTTCTGTTTTTATTTCATCCTATAGAATAGTTCTGCTCACATTCAGGATGTCTTACTCTCTTATTTAATTCTCTCTGAAAATGTCCTCACAGACATACTCAGAAATGTGTCATAGTAATATCAGGTATTTATCAATCCAACTAAATTAACCATCATGCCATTTAAAGTGGTATCACTACACAGGCAGGCAAAACCCTCATGAATCCCAACACATATATATGTAGTAATAAAAAAATATTCTGTGGCAAGCCATGAGTCCATAATGACATTCAAAGGGAATATTCGTTATGTGAAAAGACATAAATACCTCCAACAAGAATCATGTAGCCAACAATGCAACTCTGTACTTAATGTATTCAAATTAGGACCAATTACAGTAAAGCAAATTGGACAGTAAAGATTATATAATGTATAATCTGCACTAACCAGGACATCCTATAGCAAAGCAGAGTAGCATCATAATCTAAGGGAAGATTAACTTGTATTAATGGTGTTACAGTTAAATAGGTTCAATATGTATATTTTATTACCACTTACAAGAAAACTTGTCAGCCTTTAAGAGCCTTTTGTACACTTGATTTATAAATTTTGTTTTTGTGGAACTGAAGATCAAACCAAAGCTTTCAGCATGCTAGGCAAACACTCTACCACTTACACTCAACTTAGTCCTTAGACTTATAAAAATCAAACTCTAACCTACTTTTAAATACTTAATGGATTTTTAGGTTTATAAGCAAAGTCTAAATGCTTAGGAACATTTCCTATGAGTGAATCTTGTTAGGAATTTGAGGTTTATATAATAAAAAAGACTGTGATAATAAACAGGGTTGCAAATGATGTACAGTGTTCAGGGAAATGGTTATATATACATTATATATATTTGTACATAGACCTAAATATGTACACAAATACATTATATACTTGATCCTAAGAGCTCAGCCTCCTGAGTTCATAGGATTACAAATGAGGGCCACTGGCATCTGACAGAAAACTTAGTATTTTCTATAAGCTAAGTGATCACTGACCAAATACAAGTTGGGTTTTTAAGTTTTAGCATAAAATTTAAACAGAAACATAATGTGTGAAAGTACACCTTAAAAGTTAAGAAATATCAGCTTATCAAATTCATGTCTAGTACTTATTAAGATCGAAGATGTATAGCATAGATATATGCTGTATTTACATTACAAAATTAAATTTTAAGAGGAAACCTGGGGTGTAGCTTAGTTATAAGAAAGCTTGCCTAACTAGTCACGGGCAAAACCACAAAAGAAAAACTCAAAAAACAGCTTTTACACTACAATTGGAGTTGAGCAGTTGAAAGAGAGACCTTATGGCTACTAATGTTCATCATATGATCTTTAACTAAACAGTTTGTAAATCTGGTTAGATAATATGCTAGCATGAAAAAGAAAATAAAGTTGTTTTTATAATACAATATATACATAAGCAAAACTTGTGTGAAGGGGATACCAAGAATTAACCTGATAGAAGAAAAATTAACAATCACTTAAATAAATAAATATTTCCACTACTGTTATTGTGATGTTTGGGCAATAAATAATGAGTCTACTTAGTATTTGAAGATTGATGACTTACAGGAGAATTCTGCTACTTTCTGGCTGTGTGACCCTGGATATTATGTAAGAGTTTCTATCAGAGAGCTATGTTTTTTGTTTTTATAATTTTTTATTGTGATTAAGTGAATACAAAAATTTCAGTACTGTGAGATAGTGATAGTTAATCTAACCTTCATGAGACAAATTGTCATTATTGTGGTATACAGAGTTTGTCAATTCTTCTTTTTTTTGTCAGTCGTGGGGCTTGAACTTTGGGCCTGGGTGCTGTCCCTCAGCTCTTTAGCTCAAGGTGAGCACTCTACCACTTGAGCCACAGCGCCACTAATTACCACTAAATGAAGGTTGGACAGTTTTTTTTTTCAACATCTAGAAAAGTTACTTCTTTGTGAAATAATTGACCTTGGAAACCAAATTAGAATAAGAGTTGTGATTATACTCCTTTTAACTTTATTTCATGGTTATGAATACCTCTGCAATTATATTTTTAATGTATCTTCAAATTATTTGAGTATTTCACACTAATTGTTAAAGAAAAGTAGAATACCATGTAAAAATCAAAATACATTTATGTATATAATATCTATGATTTTTTTTGGTGGCCCAGTAGTAATTTTTACAAGGAAAATGAGACCTTGTTGAAGGATACCAGTGGCTCATGCCTGTAATCCTACTCAGAAGGTTGAGATCTGAGGATCATGGTTTGACATTAGCACAGGCAGTTAGGTCTATGAGACTCTGATCTCCTACTAACCACACAAATGCTAGAAATGAAGCTGTGGCTCAAGTGGTAGAGCACTAGCCTTGTGCACCAAAGCTCAGGAACAATGCCAGGCCATAAATTCAAGCCCCAATGAGCAGCACACACACGAACATATGGGACCTGTTTAGTCATATTGCTAAAAAAAAAATCAGTTTTGCAGTTTGTCATAAATCATACTGGATGGATTTGCTATGTACTGTTTTCCTCTACTAAAGTGAACAAATTATATTTTTACCACAAATTAAATAAACCAATAGCCCTAGGTAGGAAGACTTTTGAATTCCAAACAAAGTATTGGCTGAGCTTATGATTAAAATCCTTTTTCAAAGATAGCAGTATTTTCCAGTATAGACATTGGCAATTTTGGACTCTGATGTTTACAGTATTCCGTGTGTGTGTGTGAGTGTGTGTGTGTGAGAGAGAGAGAGAGAGAGAGAGAGAGAGAAAGAGAGAGAGAGAGAGAGACATAACAAGAATTTGTTAGTAATCCTTGAAAATTTTACAAGAGATCTATGTAAAAAAAATCTATAATAACATATGGCACATTGTGTTAGTGTTGACACTTTTCCCAACCCCTACCCTCACAGTGCCCCAATTAGACTTGAAACAAGTTTTCTACAACTTGACTGGACTAATGCAGGCCTAGAGGAGTCATAAAACTCAAGAAATACTTTGCCCTTGTATGAATGAAGAAATGAGTGATGTGCTATTACACCCCTGATGTTGAGATCCAAGCCAACCAGGGATATATAGTGAGAACTTCTCTCAAAAAGAAAGAAAAAGGTTCATTTGAAAAAGGAGCTAGAGGGCTGGGAAGGTGGCTCAGTGGTAGAGCACTTGCCTTGCATGCATGAGGCCCTGGGTTTGATTCCTCAGCACATAAGAGAAAAGAAAAAAGCTGGAAGTGGCACTGTGGCTCAAGCCACAAGCGCTAGCCTTGAGCTGAAGAGCTGAGGGACAGTGCCCAGGCCCAGAGTTCAAGCCCCACGACCAGACCCCCTCCCCCCCCCCCCCAAAAAAAGAAAAAGGAGCTAGATTAGCTCACCAAAGGACAAACTGTAACTTAGAAACCAAAATATTATGCTCTTAAATCATACTGGGATAGTAGTATACAGTCCCAAACTGGTTGCATTTTGTTTGGTAAAGCAACTTCTTAAATGATCTATTTTGGAGACATATAGTAAAATGTCTAGAATCTAAGTCATAAACACAAGGGGCTCATAAAAAAAGGAAAGGAAATGGGCAGAACTTTTCATTTCAGGACTGTGATATCAGAAAGGATTCTAGATGGTTTATTTGTAGTTTCAGGGGTTAAACACTTGAATCAAAAGATGGAGTAAATATGAAAGCTATTTTAACAAAGGAATGCCTCAAAAATAGAATGCGCTACTTTGTAAGACTTAAACCTTAAGACGCTAGACAGGCTGGAGCAAAAACTGAATGAGCACTTGCTGGGATGCTACAAAGGATTATACATTAGGAGAAAAGCATCTTTCCTAATTTCCTAATAGGTCTAAATTCTAAAGTTTACCCACAAGTGAAATGACCATAGAATCTTCCTTGAAATCCCTAGTTTTCATCCCTATTTCCCATCTTTCTTGTGATCTTTATTTAGCATAAAGATCATTTTCAGCTGAATCGAGAATAAACAAATATATAAAGAGGCCCTCTCATACCAGCAACTTGTGAAAAATGAAGACTCCTCAGTTTTTCTGGCCATGAATAAGAAAGGTGACACTGAGATGGGCTTGCAAAAATAAAGCTTGCTAAAATGGCTTTTATTATGTTTCTCCTATTTAACTCCCACAGTTTAAATTCCCTAAAGAGATAAACCCCCCTTCTTCCTTTTTCTTGCTTCCATAACTTTATCAATGTTTGTTTACATGAACTCTTTGGGTGATCCCTTTGCTTCCTTTTCCAGGAAGACCCCAGGTCCATAAAAATTAACATCAAATAAAAGTGTGTAGTCTTTTTCTCCCATTAATCTGTCTTTCTCTTTTAATGTAGTTTTAGCTATCTGGAAGGTTGAGAGATAAGAGGATTATTAGACTCCAGGAGCTGGAGATAAGCCTCTGTAACTTAGCAAGGCCTGACTAAAAAAACAAGCAGCCCCTTCCAACCTTTTCCTTATTGAATGGGAGCTTCTGATGCCTAGTTCATTTTCACGTTTCCTAGGCCATTTAATTAGGACCTAACAAATAGTTTCCAACCTAGCATCTTTTATTGTTTTCTGCCCTGTCCCTTCACCCCCTCCACAAATACACAAGCCAGAACTACCTCCTTTATGCACATTTTGTTATGTACCAAGCCACCTGCTGCCCTAGGTGGCCATAGTTCATGAGAGGTGGTGTGCTGTCTGGTGTCTGGGAAACTTTTCAGGTATAAGTTTACATTCACAATATCTACAAAGACAAGGCTTACGGTAAGGACTTCAAGACTTCTCTATCACTCAATTTCCAGGAAAACGTATCTTGACAATACTATCCACTAAGCGATTCTTTTGCTAACATTTACTTCAGAGTTAGGCTCGATTCACATCAGAGTAAGAGAAGCAGTGGTTTTTTCACCAAGGACCTATGATTCTCTCTAGAACGCATAGGGAAAGGGTAAAAAAAAAAAAAAATCAAATGAATAATAGTTCGTCAGACCACAATAACCCCTCTCTCAGGTGCTGGATCACAGTAGGTTTTTTGCCAAAGCTGCCTGGGAGTCACTTGGGACCGTCCTCTGGAACTCATGCAGAGAAAGCAAAAGAAAGATTAGTGCTTTCATGACACATTAATATATAAAGGACCCTGGAATTTTTTTTTTTAAGAAAAGACGTCATTTTTGTCCAGCTGACATCACACTTCCCAAGAAGAGCCCCCCGCCCCCTCCCCACTGGAAAACCCAGTCACCACCAGTTTTTGCACGACCACCGTGTCACCACCACCTCCAACCCCGGCAGGGAGGAGGAGAAAACTAGCGGCCCCTCAGGTCCTCCGGATTCGAGCACCCAGAGGCGGGCAGCAAACCGCCCGAGCCAACTGCACGCCGTTCTCCTCCAGCTTTGTTTTGGTTACCCCCCACCCCCTGCACCTCCGAGCTGGGGGGGTGGGGGCCGGGCTGGGAGGTCGCAGGGCACACAGCGGGGAACCACGGCGGGCCCGCCTCCCGAGCTTCCGCGCCACGCTTCCCCCGTACCCACCCCGACGGCTCACAGCCGCTCCTGAGCTCCGGACCCGGGAAACGGATCCCGAACGGAGAAGAAGGGTGGCGGGCGCACCGCGGCAGGGAGGAAGGAGGGGCTCGCGCAACGCTCACCTGGGAGCCGTGGCGGCTACGGCTCCTGGAACGCCGCGAGGAGCGTTCGCGGCTGCCTCGCGCTTTCGCTCGTACCTTATCACGCACGCACGTACGCACGCACGCACGCGCCTGCGCGCTCCCCAGACCCGGCAAGCTCCCTGCTCCCGGCGGCGCGCGCGCGCGCGTCCCCCGAGCTCCGTAAACCAGACTGCGGCTTCCGGAAACGGAAGATGTCGGGATGGGAAGGAGGGAAAGTTTGGGAGTCGCGAACCCAGCGGCGGGGTGCGGTGGACGGCGGGGTCCGCGCGTGTCGCTACTGCCTGCGGCGTCACAGAGCAATCGCGGGAGGGGAAGGTCAGCCCAGGCCTGCCTGCCGGCCTGCGGGCCTTGGATACATTCACAGCCTCTCTCCGACCTGGAGTGGTCGGTTGTGAGCGTGAGTTATGAATGGGGAAAGCTGTTTCGGTCATGTTATTATTATTATTTACCAAGTGACAGTAAGTGAAATGGGTCGTGGGGCTTGAACTCTGGGCCTGGGCGCTTCCCCTGAGCTTTTCAGCTCAAGGCTGGCGGCGCTCAACCACTTGAGCCACAGCGCCACTTCCTTTTTCTGCGTATGTGGTGCTGAGGAATCGAACCCAGGGCCTCAGGCATGCAAGGCAAGCACTCTACCACTGAGTCACCTTCCCAGCCCCGTCTTCATGGTATTTTAATATCAGCACCCCAGTCCTCTGCACCAGGGAAAGCCCTCCTACGGGTCCAGGAGGTGTAGCTAAGACCATCTAAAATAAAAATGATGCCAGAGCTGGTGGCTCACGATATTCATCCCAGCTATTCAGGAGGCTGAGATATGAGGATCATGGTTCAAAGTCAGCAAGAAAATCAGAGCGCTCATCTCTAATTGACCACTAGAAAGCTGGGAGTGGAGCTGTGATTCAAATAATAGAGGGCTAGACCTTGAGCAGCAACGCTCAGGGACAGTACCCACGCCCTGAGTTTAAGCCCCCCAACTGGTGCTCCACCCCTCCAAAGCTCAAGGACAGTGCCCAGGCCTTGAATTCAAGGCCCAGTATCGGTGTACATATTCTTCATAATGTATTGAGTGCTCTACTTCCTTGCATTTGAACAATCAGACATATGGTTGACACCGCGGAATAACGGCACCCCCAAAATGTCCACCACCTCTGATCCCCAGAACACATGAATATGTTGCTTCACACGGCAAATGGAATTTATGTGATGTGATTGGACACACAAATTTAAAAAATTGAATTATTCACATCACTAGAGTCCTTATGAGACAAAAAGTTCAAAACTATAAAAATGAGACTGAAGTGATGTAGGGGAGAGGCAATGAGCCAAGGGATACAGGCTACCTCTGGAAGCTGAAAAGGGAGGGGAAATGGATTCTCCTCTGAAAGAATGTAGCACAGCTAACTGACATCTTGATTTTAAATTCCAGAATTATAATATGAATTCTAGAATATAACCCAATAAATCTGTGCTGTTTTGAACCTTTACATTGTGTTATTTGTTATGCAACAATAGGATACTAATACAGTAAGTGCTGAGAAAAAATATTATTTACGTGAGAAAACAAACTTAAGGAAATACCGATTTAACTATAGCCTAAGGAATCCCAGACAAGGAACAATGTACCTTCTAAACAAGTTTTATTTCTGTGCCAGTAAATAAAAACAATCGTTTATGTTATGTTTTGTTGGCTAAATGAAAGGATTTCATTTCAATTCTGCTTTATGAAACTTTTGACACTAGTGTACTACCTTTTCACCCCTGCATGGGTGGCTATATTTTAAAGATGCTTCCTGGAAAGAAAATACGTAACAAAAAAGGATTGTCTAAGCTGTATAGGTATTTTAACCCTTGTGTACTGCTTATGTGAATGTAAAATAGAACAGAAAACCATGTAGCATCTCTTCGAAAAGTTAAACAATGAAAATTATATTGAGCCAATTATTATATATACTTCAGGGTATATATATATATATATATATATATATATGTATGTATACCTAACAATCAAAATAGGGTGTCAAACATAATTGTATGCTTTCATAACCGCATTATTCCTAATAGCTTAAAGGTAGAAACAACCCAAACATCCATCAACACACAGATAAAATGTTGTATATGTGGTTATATACGTACAAAAAGACATTTAGCCATAATGAATAAAGTTCTGATACATGCTAAATAACATGGATGAGCTTTAAAGATACTCTACTAGTAGTATAGGGAAATAAGATACAAGAGGACAGGTATTGTATAATTGGTATGAGGTTACTCAGAATTATCACATTCATAAAGTCAAAAAGCAGAATCCTGGCTCCCAGGAAATGGGAATTATTTGATGGACTTAGGGTTTAAGTATGAATTGATAGTTTTGGAGATGATAATGGTGATAATTACAAAACAATGTAAATTTACTTAATGTTACTAAACTGTACTTATATATAACCAAAGTACTTTATATGGATGTATAAAAATAGAATGAGACAAAAATTGTTTAGAGGAGGAGTAAGAATGTAATACAGCAATTAAGGTATGTCAAATGCATGTATGGAAATACCACAATGAAATCCTTTTGTACAATTAATAGATGCTGATGAAAAAAATAAAACTACTTGTTAAGTAACAAATTTTATATTGTATATATTTTACCACAATAAAAAAATAACGATTTGAAAGTGCAGATCTTAAAAGTAATTTTGACTATTTTGGTGGGGGCTATCAATTTGTAAGCATCATCTTACCCCAGGTGTTAGTCACTCAGGTTGCTACAACAAAATCTTGTTGGCTTATGAACAACAAACCTTTGTTTCTCACAGTTCTGGAGATTGGGAAGTTCAAGACCAAGATGCTAATAGATTGTCTAGTGAGGGCTTGGTTCCTGGCTCAGAGATAGTTTCTTTTCTGTCTGTCCTCATGTAGTCTAAGAGGTATAGTCTTTTTATGATGGCATTGATCCTGTCATGTAAACTGCCCTTGTGACCTAATAACCTTCAGCAGCCCTCCTCCTAATATCAACACATTGATGACTAGATTTCATTGTAGGAATTTTGTAGGAGATATAACAATTCAGATCATAGTAAATTATTCAGACCCTAGTTATCTGCATTATTCAGACAAGCATTTACTCAATAATTGAACTATAACAAATACAGTTTAATAGCATATAGATGAATTCAGAGTTTTGGCTAATTTGTATTTTGGAGAAATTAGTTATTAAGAAGTCACAATTTCTCTTCCTGTAAGTGGCCAGAGGTGACCTGTGAAAATGGTTCGCTACTCTCTAGACCCAGAAAACTCCACAAAATCATGCAAGTCAAGAGGTTCCAATCTTCGTGTACACTTTAAGAATACCAGAGAAACAGCCCAGGCCATCAAGGGTATGCATATCTGAAAAGCGACCAAGTATCTGAAAGATGTCACCTTAAAGAAGCAATGTGTGCCATTCCGGCGTTACAATGGTGGAGTTGGCAGGTGTGCCCAGGCCAAACAGTGGGGCTGGACTCAGGGTCCGTGGCCCAAAAAGAGTGCTGAATTTCTGCTGCACATGCTTAAGAATGTAGAGAGTAATGCAGAACTGAAGGGTTTAGATGTAGATCCCTGGTCATTGAACACATCCAGGTGAACAAAGCACCTAAGATGCGCCATCGAACTTACAGAGCCCAATGGTAGGATTAACCCATACATGAGCTCCCCCTGCCACATTGAGATGATCCTTACTGAGAAGAAGCAAATTGTTCCTAAATCAGAGGAGGAGGTTGCACAGAAGAAAAAGGTGTCCCAAAGAAACTGAAGAAACAAAAACTTATGGCACAGGAATAAATTTAGCATAAAATAAACGCAAATAAAAAAGAAGTCACAATTTATTTTCTTTATAATTTTCCAATCCACTAGTACTAGAGAGCAAATCGAGGTAAGTTTGTATTTCCTTGTTTTATGTTTCATAACTTGAAAATAGATACGTTTGGGATTTATTAATAAATTCCAATCTGCCAATGGTTGTCCTAATTAGTTGTCTACTATCTCCTTTGATCCTGTTCTCAATCGAGTTCTTTTTGTATCCTAAACAGACTAAGAAAATTTTCAACTCCTGGGACCAGAAATGTGAATTTAAACAGATTTTCAATGTCACTAGATGCTACTGGTTTGAACATTCAGATGATCCACTAGAACACTGATTAATTTATCTAATGGTGGTAAGTTGTTAAAGCAATGAAACAAATAAACACACTTGAATTAAAAAAAAATTCACATGTAAGCTGCTGCTTTATTCCTAGATGGCTCATATAATTTGCTTTGATTAAGGGGATATTAGGAAACACAATAGGAACAACAGCTTAAAAGAACTCACACACTAGTATCCCTGAGACTTTGGTGATGTGTAGCCCAAGCTAACCTCTTGGAGGATTAAAAACAAAAGACACAGAAACCATTTTAACGGAGATTCTATAGAGCAAACATCCCTTAGGCTGTGTAGCAGTAGGCTAAGATTAGTAATAGAGCTGACCTCAGCCCACATTCCTGAGCTACAAAATAAGGAAACAATGTAACTGTTATTAGGGGTAGAGGTTTGTTATGAGAAAGCATATAATCAACACAGTATTTTCCTCAATTAAACGTTAACACTTAGATAAGTTGAAATCGTCCTTTTTATGATCTACCTTTTAATTGTCTTGAGACCAGCTAATTTAGTTTCCATTATCTTTTTTTCCAATTTTTATTTATTTTAGTATTTATTGTTATTTTAAAGGTGATCTATAGAGGAGTTACAGTTTCCAGTCTTACTGAATTTCTTTAAAGATTAATAACAGAGGTAGTTCTGTCTATATTTTCTAGTATCTTTACCTATCAGTATGGAACCCCAGTCACTATTTTATTCATAGGTTCATTATTTTCCAAGCATTACTATATGTTTCTGTTAAGCTTTAGAAGTTTACTACTTGTTTTTATGGTTTTTATAGTTTATTGCCTTTTATTCCCTTTTACCAGGGTCAGGTGAGGGCCTTACACACTCAGTTTGGTTTCTTGATCTGACTGGCACTTGAGCCATGCCTCCAATCCTACTTTTTGCTGGTTATTTTGGAGATAGAGTCTCATGGACTTTTCTGCCATGGCTGGCTTAAAACCTCGATCCTCTTGATTTTAGCCTCCTGATTACAGGTGTGTGCCACTGCCACCTGCCTCCTTTTCAAAGTTTTGTAATATTTCTCCTTTTCTCTCACTCATCCCTTTCCCTCTCCTTAGACATTGATATCCTTTTATCTCTTTATGTATTTTCCATAAACCACACTTCGCTGTTAAGTTTATAAGGAATGTTTACTGACTTGAAAAACAGTTTTTCCACCCTAGCTTTACATCTCTCCAGTTCTACATTACTCTTGGGGACAATGTAGCTGTGTTTTAAGATTATGGTCATAAGTTGTTAAGACCTGGGATGGCAGTTTTTCCTTTACTGGTTCAACATATAGTCACTTGGCATTTGTTAGTGTGCTAAAGTGCTGCTATTTCGCAAAGCAACAACACTAAACATCTTAAAGCACGGTAGCTCATGAACTTAAATGTTTTTTTTTTTTTCCTCCTCTGAACTATGAGATGACTAAATCATGGTTTTTCGTAAGTGCTATGTTATGGTGGTTATGTGTTATAAGTTCTAGATGTACAAGATCTATAAAGTTAAATGAGTAACTACTAAAGATAGCCCCTACACCTAGATAACCAAATCCTAGGTGTAATACATATTAGCTTTGTAATGTTGAGCATGCTGATTTATCCATGCCTGTTTCCCCATGTGTCAAAAGGCATAACAGTATCAAAGTTGTAGTGAAAATGAAATATTTCCAGCAGTCGATATGGCATTATCACTTTTGGTACAAGTTACTGTCCTTATTTTTGACTTACAAAGTACAAGAGAATGAAATGCCTTACCAATGCTAATAAATATTAAAAACAAAAAGCTTTATAAAAATGGAAAATGTAAATATATTTAATATACACATACATAAAATAACTACTTGTATGCCATTTTGTTAGGATTAAATGTTAGGGATCATTTTTTGATATCTTCATTTGCAATTTGCAATCCATTTCAGGCAAATTTATTATGAATCCCTGGAATGAATATGTAGGTTGGCAGTATATAATGGACACCATAGTCCTGGGTAATAGTTTTGTGTTAAACCAATAAATATTTCGTATGAACTTACAATCTTTTGCTTGTTGAAGTGACAGTAATACTACTTATTCACAGATGGAATTATTCCTTACTAAAAAACACAGTATAGTGCCGGGCGCTGGTGGCTCACATCTGTAATACTAGCTACTCAGGAGGCTGAGATTTGAGGATCATGGTTCAGAGCCAGCTCGAGCAGGAAAGGCCGTGAGACTCTTAATCTCCAATAAACCTCTCGAAAACCGGAAGTGGTGCTGTGGCTCAAGCGGTGGAGTGCTCGCCTTGAGCTGAAGAGCACAGGGACAGTTCTCAAACCCCAAGACCGACAAAAACAAAACAAAAAATAAAACACAGTATAGTCACAGTATCTGAAAAATACATTTTAATGCTTATGTTTCTCTTGTAGTCCCAGGTAATCAGAACATAAATACATTTATTGGAAACCAGTAGTTTTCCGATATTGAAATTCTTCATTAAAAAGCGTGAGGAGAGTTTCTAGGCTGTTACCTTTAGACAGTGCTGATACCATTACTTCTAATTTACCTTTCTTCCTGTTTCCATTCCTAATTTGTTCACTGGAATCTTTCACTCCTGTTAAGGAAACCATTAATCTCTTCAGGATTCTATTTCCATTATCCATCAAGGACGTTTGCTGCTTTATTAGTCTTAGCAGTGCAGTGATTGCAGCATATTGACATGTATCTTGGCAAGCATCATCAGTATACTACCGGCTGGGACTGTAACAAGAGAAGAGACGAATACGAACTGTAAACATTATTTGGACCACTCTCGTTTGCGTGGGTAACAGCATGTATATTGAACAGTTGGCAAGAAAAAACACAGAACTGGAGCCAAACTGATTATTGGCAGCTGTACACACCCTCTGGCACCAGGTGGAGTTCTTCCGGCCTTTTTCCTAACTAGATCACATCTCCACATTTATCTGATTCCTCTCCTATGGCGGTTGAGTGGGGAAGGAGAGAAAGTATTAGTGACAAACTGTTAAATGTGAGGCTCAGGACGGGTGCCGTTTAATCCTAACGGAGCAAACAGTAGAAATTGGGTGTACTCGGGGGCGGGGGGCGCTGCGATCTGTAAGCAAGGCTGGGAGGATTTAAAGGGATGGCCTGAGAATTACAATCGTTCCTGACACCTGCAGCAAAAATTTCCACCAACTGACTCTGTCCTGGCAGAGTGGAGAGGAGGGGGGAGCGCGGGAAAGAGCAGGGCGCTCTGCGATTGGTCGCGCCCCCTCCTCTGGGGCCCGCCCCCGCGCCGTGGGTGGGCGGCCCGGCGGCCCCTCCCCGCTGTCAGTCAGCGGCTCGCGAGGCCCCTCCTCCCCCTCCAGCCGCTCCGGGCCGCCCCCGCCCCCGCCCCGCCCGCGTCAGGCCTCGCGGGCTTCAGTCACAACACGGTCCCGCTACCTGGGTGCGCCCGGCGGTCCGGCTGCTGCGGGCCCGGCACCGGCTGGCGGTGCTGAGCGGGCGCCGGGAGGGGCTTCGGCGGTGTCTGTGGGAGCGGTTCCCTCGGAGGCCCGCCGGCGAGGGCATGAGCGCGGGCTCCCTCAGCCTCCCGAGCGGCGGCGGGAGCGGCGAGGCCAGGAGGCGCCGCGCAGAGGCCACCGTCCAGGGCAGTGCCGGGGGGCAGCGGGGCGGGAGATGTGCCTGTCCTTAGCGGCCCAGGAAACAGCATGCACCCCGATGCCACCGACAGCAGCGGCGCCGGCCTGGGCCCCGCGCCGGCCGCAGGCGTGCGCGGCCGTCCCGCCCCGGGCTCCGCGGGCCGGCAGCGGAGGGAGTCTGAGGAGAGCGCGCCGGCGACCGCGGCGCCTGGGGGCCCGCGAGGCGGCAGCCGGTGGGTGCCGGTGGTCCTGCCCGCTCTCGCCGCCGTGGTCTTCTCCTTCTTGGGACCCGGCTGCTGGCTGGTGGCGGGAGGCGGGGGCCCGTGCACCGTCCTGCTCCGCCTCCTCCTGTACCTGAGCTCTGCCGCGGCCGCCCTCTTGCTGGGGACCCTCTGCGCCCTCGTCTGCCGGAGCCTGCGCGCCCCGCCGCCCGACTTCGTTTCCGCCTGGAGCCGGGTGGCCACGGCCGCCCGCTGCCCGCTGGGGGTGAGTACCGGTCTCGGCTGCCCCGCGCGCCCCGCGGCCTCCCTTCCCGCCCCCCGGCGCGAGCCGTCCGCCCTCGGAGACCCCGCCGCCCGCGGCGTGGCCTTCTCCGTCCGCCCGAGTCCCCTCCGGCAGCCCGAAGCCGGAGAACTACCGGGCTAGGGTATGGAGATGGGGAGCGACGCCCCACGCGGCCGGGCTGTGGGTTCCCCGGGCTGTGCCGACATGCCCTGCGCTCTGTGGTTACTCATCCACGGTCCACAGCCACAACCTACGTGGCTGAAGCCAAACGTGCGGCGGGCGCGGTGCCTGGGAACTGGGGACACAACACTCCCCGCACCCAGGCACCGCGCTCTGCGCCCGCGATCGCATGGGGTTCTTCCAGCCGTTCTCGGTGGCAGAGAACTTTCTGACCATTTACAGACCGGGAAACTTAGTTAGGTTACCGACACTGTACCCAGTACTTCACATGCCCGGTGCCTGTCCACTTCCTGTCACACCAGGCTGTCTTCCACCATGTTGTTGGTGAAGTAGTAGTAACGCAGCTCCAGTGCGGCCCTCCACGGTGTCTGATTTTTTAAACGGAACGCCAGAAACGGCTGTTGTTTGCCGAGCAAGGAAAGCTGGCCTCAGCCAGGTCTGGGACATTAGGGAGGTGGTTAGGGAATGTAGGAAATGACTATTGTAAATGAACCTTTTTTTTTCCTTCCCCAGTGTCAAATTTTCTCTACCTCCTTGTTTCCTTTCTCATAACATTTTATTGTGGCCTGAACTCACAGCTTAACCCATGACCCTGTCATGAGAGGAAAAAAGCCCAAATACTTTGGGCTCACAGTGGCTCACCTTGCTAAGAATGTTTGTTAATGACAGAACATTCTTCCGAAGGTTTGTACTTGTTTATGCCTTAAGCTGTTTACTGCTTTGTTAAAAAAAAAAAAAAAGCATCCCAGTGTGTCAGTTCAGACTGGTGTTGAGATCACCACTGAAGGATTGTAGGTAGGCCGGCGGGCAGGCAGGCAGGCACCCTCACTTAGTAAATGGATAAGTGATTCATGGTATTAAGGATAGAGCACTTCAGTAGCCTCAAGCGTAAGTCGTGTTTATTTCTCTTACTGGTAAATGCTTTTCATTTCTAATTCAGCGAGTGGTTGAGCAAATGTAGTCCTTCCTTTGCTATTTTTTCCCCCATACAGTGATAGACCTCAAAATTTTATCCCAACATTTTAAAAAATAGATCTACAAAAGATGTACCAGTTCTTAAATATTGTAAGAAGTCATTATTCATTCAGTACATATTTCTTAAGCATCTTGTATGAATCAAGTTCTTAGGTGTTGTGGAACCTGAGATTGAATCAAAACCCAATCTTAACTATTTTCTGGAGAATATATTCCTGTGTTGGACCAGACTAAATAGATAATTAAATAAGTAAATAAATGACTTTAGTACAGCGATAAATGCTTCTGAAATAGTGAATAAAAGTGACTTGTGAGGAAGGACAGAAGTTTAAATGGTGAAGTCAGGGTCAAAGTCATAGTATTTAGGTCCATCTCTGAGCGCCAGGAAACCTCACATTTTGGGTTACCACTGTTTTCTGCAAAATATATTCCTCCAAATCTACTGGTTCACTTACTAGATTTGGCATTCTATAGGTAAAATTTGGATTGCCATCTAGAGATACAGCTTTCTAAAGGGATTAGAAAAAAATAACACTTGAAAAGTGACAGAAAACAAGCAGCAGATGTAATCTCTCAGGTATAGTATCTGCCGATTGTAGATAATAGAAGGGGTAAAATATACCCTCAGGAAAGTGACAATTGATTGTGCTTTTTGAACTTGAATTTCTCTAATAGCTTTAAATAAGAAAATAAGTAGAGATGGGAAGGTGGCTCAGTGGTAGAGTGCTTGCCTCACATGCATGAGGCCCTGGGTTTAATTTCTCAGCACCGCATAAACTGGAAAGGCTGGAAGTGGTGCTGTGGCTCAAGTGGTAGAGTGCTACTAGCCTTGAGCTGAAGAGCTCAGGGATGGTGCCTGGGCCTAGAGTTCAAGCCCCACAAGACCAACAAAAAGAAAAAGAAAGAAAGAAAGAAAAGAAGAAATTAGGAAATTACTTTCAAAGCTATGCATTACTTAGAATTGAAATGCATATTATTCACACAAAATTCTATTGTCCTTATGGTACTGGTGCTATTTAATCAAGCTAATATTTTGCTATATTTGTAATAATTCGTGTTTTAAAAATGTTCTTTTCTTTATGAATGGAAGGATGAGAAGAATAACATGTGGTGTAGTATAAAGTATCTGTTCTGTGGGGGTAGGAACTGGACCAGATGGGTCATCTAACATATGTGGAGGAGGAGTCTGTTAAACAGTGAGCCAAATGGAACATCTTAGGATAACTGATTCCTTCACTACACAAATTTCCATTTAATGGGAAGGAAAAGATCCTCTTATTTTTTGAGGGTACTGGGTAGGAAAGTACTATTCTTTTTTTTTTTTATCTTTATTGATTTTTTTAAAAAATAGGGTCCTTGTGTTTTTGCACCAGTTGGGCCTCAGATGGAGCTCCTTCTACATGTACCTCCTTCTTAGCTTTGATTACAGGTGTGTAGCACCGTGGCTTGTTTTGCTTGAGATGGCTTGTTTTTTGCTGAGGCTGGCCTCAAAACTGCAATCATCCCTGTCTTTGCCTCCTGAATAGCTGAGAGTACAGGTGTGCATCTTCTATGCAAGCTAGAAGAAAGACTTTCCTGACTGGAAAACAATCTTTTATAAATAGTGCATTTTGAATTCTTGTCTGAGCTCAATATGACAGACACTGGTATCTAGCTTTCTATTTTTTTCCCAGTTTTTTTTATTCTTATGTGGAAAGAATAATGCATATTGTTAAAAGTAGGAAATTAGAGAAGGCTAAACTTAGAGGACAAAAAAAGTGTTTTTTTTAAAAATCATAAACTAATGCTTTTTTCCTCCAATTAATCTTAGTATCTATCTATTGGACTTTTTCTTTATGTAAAGGCTTTGATTTTACTTGAGAACCACTACTGATAAAGTAGATAAAAGTAGTTTTTATCCCAGATAGAAGTTTTGTTTCAAACACTAGGTAGTATTTTCAGTGTTGAAAAGCTTCTGAGTACAATCAGGAAGGTTGCTGCCAAAGTCTTGATAATTGATATCTGGGCCTCACTTCAGAAAAACTTGGATTTTAGAGCTTGTTCCTAGTGTGATGTGGTTGTTTAGCTTTGCTGAGTGGCTTGTCATGGTGTTTCTAGTCCAAGGTTATTTGATAGTTTAGTATTCTTGTAGGCCACTTAAATTGCTTAGGTGTAAGCCACAGACTCACTGGTCATCAGTGCTTGACTCTAGCACTTGATCCAATTGGGATTAGAGCAAGGTAGGGCTATGAGTGGGAAATGTTTTATTTATTTTTTTAATTTTTTTTCGTTGTTCATGGGACTTGAATTCTAGGCCTGGGCACTGTCTCTGAGGTCTTCAGCTCAAGGCTAGTGTTCTTCCACTTGAGCCACAGTGCCACTTCTGGCCTTTTCTGTTCATGTGGTGCTGAGGTATCAAACCCAGGGCCTCATGCATGTGAGGCAAGCACTCTACCATTGAGCCACCTTCCCAGCCCCAGTTTTTTTTTTTAAAATTGTTATTATAAGGGTGATGTATAGAGGGGTTACAGTTACATAAGTCAGGTAATGAGTAAATGTCTTTTGGGACAATGTCACCACTTCCCTCGCTTTCTCCTAGTTTTTCCTTCCTGTCCTCATCTATAAGTTGTTAGATCATTTTCAACATAGTGTCTAGTGTCTGTCCCTCCATTTCTGTGAGGAAATCTTTTTATCATTATGAGAGCAGCAAATCAGTCTGTCTCATATTGGAAAATAAGGAAATACTGTTTATTTTGATGATAGGAAGGTAAAAGAGAGAATAACTTTTCAACTTTTTCTCTGGAAAAGTCTATGGCTTAGTAGGTATTTCAAAAATTTTATTGTAAATTAATTTATAATTGGGTATACTTATAGGGTGTAAGATGCTAAGAGTTATGAACACAATGTAGAATAATTAAAAAGCTAACTAATATATCCATTATCTCAAATACATTTTTTACTTTAAGTACTTGATTTGCTCTTTATAGATAAACGAGCCATTAATGGGAACTGGACAAATTACTCTACAAAAGTTGGGTGGTTAACAGTATATGGAAAACTAAAGGTTGTGACCTTATGAAGAAAACATTAATGAAAGGCTTCAAAGTTCAGCCAGAAACAAGTGTTCAAGAAGTTCACCAACTCTAATTAATAAACATTGAATGAGTATCTGCTATATATCTCATAATCTGATCTCCTTAGTTTCTTACCACCAGTATCAGACATAAAGTATGTAATCAATAGGTGGACTTTATTTTATTTTTGGTGGTGGTGTCACTAGGCTTCGAATTTAGGGCCTTGTGTTGCTAGGCAGATGTTCTACCTCTTGAACCATACCTCCAGCCTGAGTAGGCTGATTTTAATGAGAATAACTTTAAGAAGCCAACTGACATTTTCAGATTTGCAGTTTCAACCAGTTTCCTAGGGAAGAGTCTGTGCCTTGTAATAGGTAATATTAGAGCTTGATTAATTGTTTGATTAATTGTTTGCCTGGCACAGTGTGTGGTATCGGGGAGGATTCCAAGGTCAACAGGAAGGAGTATTCCCTGTCCTTCCTCTTAGCCTGAGTAGATTACAGTGGTTGAGAAGCCTGAATTGGAAAGCAGATGTTTATAGAGACAGTGAAAACATTCATACGGTGATCCACCACTCTACTTTGCTTGGGCTGGACTTCTAGATTTCCTAAATGGGTTCATTTACCAATACAAATGTTCTTTGAGTAAAACAAATTTAATTTGCTTGAGAGGGAAAGGAAAAGATACAGGAATTAGGGAGACTCTACATAGCCTCTCTGTGCCTTTGTTATGCTAATGTGATAAACTAATCCTGGGTGATTTAATAATGAATAA